ATCATTTCATGTACCAAGGTATACAAGAAAAACATATAGAAATATGGATAGATAAAATGATTTGTAACAGATCATATATGCAAAGGGAAAAGCCAAGAAAACTCTGGGGGACACACTATAAATAGAAAGGCCAAATAGAAACCTGATCTTGTCTATTTAATAAACAACAACATTAAAAGACCTTGAATTTATATTATATTATAATATTTTTCATGATACAGACAAAGACAATCATGTAATGAGAATCGAATTTAAAATATTATATATTGTGGTAAGATATTAAAAGCACTGCGCAGATTCGTTATCTAAAAACTAGAAGGGGGAAAAATTTCAAGGACTAATGGAACTCGAGAGGATAAAAAGAGCGTTGACCAATAATGGAAAGACTACGAGTCCGAACATTGTCGGATCCGTTATGAAGGAGTTGACCGGTGAGAACACAAGACATAACTACTTGATCTTCTTCAGCTGACAAATCCATATTTTATGTTACGAGTCCTTTAGGATTCACTTAAACCTTATTAAATTTTATAATTTACGTATTTCAAATTTTGATTCGGTTTTATTTTGGTTATATTGAGAAATGAATTTTCAGCTTATTTTATATTTGATTCAGATTTAATTGATTAGTTTGATTTAAGTAAAATTATAATTAATCGTTTTTAAATCGGGTTCGATTCAAGTATAAGTCGGTTTAGTTTTGTATATCCTAACTGAATAGGTCACCCCAAATTCAAAAGTGAGAAATGTGTAGGCAAATATAAAAGAAGGATGAAAAAAATTGTGGGATATGTAAGTATATATATATTATATGTATGTATGTGTGTATATATAGGTGCAACGTTGAGTTCCATTCCGACGAAGAAAGTATGCAGGTACCCGTTTCTAATGTTGGGAGAGTCTAGGTGATGAACCACAGTACATTATCAATCAAAAGATATCACTTATAATTTGTGTGAGGAATAATTTGTCTACAAAATTTTAATTTTAAAAAGTATGCTTAATCTTGTATGGCACCGTCTACTCTGCCCCGTTTTCTTCTTCTATTTTGTTTTTGAAATTCCTACATACAAAACGAATCCATTGGTTGCTAATTAAAGCTTATATTATATATGTTAATGTTATTATAAGCCCACCTAGGGTTTTGTATGTTAGTGATAAGTCCATTCTTGAAATGTTTTATGTGTGTACGTGATTTGATCATATCTCATATATATACGTGTAAATTCGATATTTTTATTTTATTTTCTAGACATTTAAATTAATTAACTAGGTTTTACTGCGATCGTATTTTGTTTCTGTAAATGTTGTATATCAAACTATAACAGAGTATCGGTCTGCCAGGTATGGCTGACAGAATTTGTAGATGGGTATGCGTAAAAAGTGCTCTATGTTCAAACCCATCCCGACACAAACTTTATATAAAAAAAAAAACAGAGCATCGGCCTTCCATAGTATTCTCCTCGAATATACTCTGGACCTACAATAACAATCGTCTCTTATAAAAAAAAATTATTTTTTGACCGATTTAATTTCTTGACCACGGTAAATTTTTTTTTTTATATTTGTATCCTAAATTATTTTAAAGCGAAAAAAAAGGTGTTCCAAATAGTTTTTAAGAGATAAGATTTCCATGTGTAACGTAGGTACCAAATTGGTTTTTTTTTTCCTTTGTTGGTTTGAGATGATAACCCTAATTATTGAAGGCTTTATTGGCCTGTCTACGAGTGAAGATTCCACACTCCCCTCAAAAGAAAAATGGGATAATATCATATGCCTACTTTCTTTGTTTTTTCTTTTTCTTTTTCTTTTTCTTTTCCTTTTCTTCAATGCAATACAGGAAGAACAAATGATTTTTGTCTTCCCCAAACTTTGATATAACACTTGCCAACTTGGGCAGTTGTATATCTGTTTCATTATTCTTTGTGAAATAACTACATATATATGCATATATATATGTATATTCAAATAGATACGTATCTTTTTTTTAAAGAAATAAATAAGTAGTTACATATCTTACTACGTGAATATTAAATACATACAAAAAATTAGTTGAATAATTTACGTGTTGTTTCTTGTCAGACTTTGTAATTGTTGATATTTTCATTGTGAACTATTGTATCGAGAATATATATTTATATATGTTAGATACGATTAAAAAATAATAATCTTGCAATTATTTTAGTTTTCCATCCACGGTTTTAAAGAAAATCCCATATAAATGATCTTATAAAAAATAAATATACCAACTTTCTCTTTTTTTTCAAATACATTAATTATTTGAAACTTCCACATAAATACATGAACGGTAAAAATATTATATTTCTATCAAAATAGTAACATTACTAAAATATACGGAATGTTTAACTAAACTTTTCAAAGATAACTCAAGATAGGATGGTTTAATGGTAAAAAAATATGCAAATATGTTTTTACCCGGGTTCAAATCTATGCGTGGGAAATAGTATTTACTTCGACTTCTCCAATCCTTTGTAAGATGTAATTAGAACAAAGATCCGGTAAACTTCCAGATTATTAAGCAAAACTGGATTTTCCCAAATCTCTGGGAGATATAGTTGGATCAGATGTGGTAAACTTTCGGATTATCAAAAAGTAAAACTTTTCAAATAGTAAATATTGGAATTCTTATTTAACCTCATTCCTTTGAAAATATACATATTTTTTCAATCATTTAATACCATTATTATTCCAGTATAAATCCAACAATAATTTGAAAATTTACGTGGAAATTTTAACTAGTTAATGCATTTATATGAGAAAAAAAAATGTATTTATTTGGAAAGTTTTGATAGTTGTACTGTTATAGGAAATTTCCTTAAACTTATTTAGACCAATGTAACATCATGCATGTTTCCTAATTTTAATAGGTAGCAAATTCAATTGAATTTGAAATTCCTAATTAATTAAATAAGGAAGAACACGTCGTTTAGGGTTTTTTTTTGGCTCGAGTACAGTTGGCCGGCAGCTTGGTGCACCAAAGTTTGTCCCTCTTCTTTCTTCCCCCCCGTTATTATGCTACGAAGTTTATCTGTTCCACAATTATAAAATTCTCTATTAATAATGTGTGTGTGTATATAATATATATATATATATATATATATTATAAATGTATAACCACCCCATTCCCGAGATACTGACAAAATAATGGAGTATGTTATGAATCCCATATTATTGCTTTCATTTATTTTTATATATATATATATATATAACCGTACATTGGTTGAACAAGCAAAAGATATAAATCTTTTTATTATAAGTATTGTGGGATCCTTCTTTGGTTGTCCCAACGCGAGCGGGGGATTATCTATAATACACTTGAATAAAAATACAGTGTCGATAATGCAAACAAAGATACTTTGCATTGGAATTTCTATATATACATTCACAAAAAAGAAATTTAAATGTCAAAGTAGGATTTTTTTGTGTGTGTTTAATACTCCATATGTGAGAAGAGATAATATAAAATAGAAATGGATATTTCGATTCGATCATGATAAACCGAATTGAGTGATAAATAAATTAATCGAAACTAACCTAAAAATTATTGAATATGACTTTTGTAAAGCCAAATTAATCAGATCAAAATTCAATCGGAAAATAGTCTAACAAATCGATTGATAAATGTTGATGTCTAACATATATTTGATTTCGATTATGAAAAATAAATATTTATATTAAATTTAATTATCTTGGTGCAAGCAATCTGGTTCTATGGTGTAGTGGTTAGCACTCTGGACTTTGAATCCAGCGACCTGGGTTCGACTCCCGGTAGGACCTATTTTTATTATTTGATTTGATTTTTATGCTCCAATATATTTTCATGCCTCTCAATTATTCAACCCATTTTCTGTATTTTGGATCAACTCTGCCCATTGCCAAAAGTCTACTAGAAGTGATCTATATGTATATGATATGATGCACATTATGTGTATAAATACACGAGAGGTAAAAAATATGCACATTTCTATAAAACAAAAATTAGTCGAGGGCTTGATTGATTTTATGGTTGAGATCCTAATTGCGGTTGTGCGTATTTGCGATACATTTGCTGCTGGCGATTGTGAACGATTGATACAATTGTTTGATAATCCACTGTAAGTGGCTGTGATTAGAAAAATAACCGATTGATTTCAATTGTTATAAGGTATAAATTACAAAAAAAGTATATTATAAATAATAATAAGATTTTTAAAATATTTTTAATTAGTTTTAAAAAATTATATGTATAATAATTTTTGCAAAAATAATATATATACACACACATAAATATATATATATATATATATACCTGTACTTTTACAAAACTCCCATATAAATACCTGAACTATAAAATTTCCAAATAAATACCTGTACTTTTCAAAAGTTCCACATAAATACTCAGACTTTTGAAAAAATTTCCAAATTATGCAGGATTCGTTGACGGCGTTTAACGTGTCACTGTTCATTTAAAAAAGTGATGATTCAGCGTTCTAAAATCCTACTCAGCATCCACGTGTTTAGCCATGTCGGAGTAACCGGTTTAATTAATCGGAGCGGTTTGATAAAAACCAATCCGGTTTGGTAAAAAAATTTAAAAACCCTAAAATGTGTATTTTTCATCCCCAGCACGATTTATCCTCTCATATTTTCATCTCCCTTCGTCATCTCCCCTTTTCCTCTCTCTGTTCATCATCTCCCTTTCTCCTCTCTCTCTGTTCGTCATCTGCGTTGTTCTCCGCGTCGTGTCGGCGTCTTTTCTTCGCCGCCAGTCTAGCTTCCATCCTACCTCGTCGGTTCGTCTAGGTAAGTGTGTATGGTTTAGGATTTAGTTGAAGTCCATTTTCAAAAAGTTAGGGTTTATGTTTCTTAGATTCAGATTCATATTGTTATTTGACTGTTAGGGTTTATTTTTCTTAGATTTGAGTTTATGTTGAGCTGTTGTTTGTGGTTGGATTATGTTGATTGACGTTTAATGTTTCTGGTTTAGGATTTTCAGATTCATGAGTTCGACCAATTCACAAGTGTGTTGCAGTCCTAGATCATCCAAACAAAAAGGATTACCACAACAATGTGAATGTGGACGCCAGATTATAAAATTGATATCGAAAACTTCCAAAAACCCAGGAAGATTATTCTTCTGTTGCGAATCACAAGAGGTTAGTTTCACATTTTTGTATGCATTTCAGTAAGAATCGTAAATGAATTACAATTATACGTTTCAGGGAAATTATTCACACGTATGGAAATGGGTCGATGAAGCCATTATCGAAGAACTGCAATCATTGAAAGAGGAGATCAAAGTTCGAAATGAGAAGATCGAAGTTCGGAATGAGAAGATCGAAGTTCAAAATGAGAAGATCGAATTTCGAAATGACAAGATAGAAGTTCAAAATGAGAAAATGAAAGTTCGAATTGACATGATCGAAGCTAGACTTAAGAGGATTGAAGCTGAGGTTCAAGAATTCAAAGCAATTTGCCAAAAAATGCTCATAGGAATGGTGGTTTTTATTTCGGTTGGGTTGTACTATTATGGGTTATTAAAAGAGTGAAGATGGTTTATGTGTTTGGATTTGTCATGAAGACTAATGTTTGTATGTTGTTGTTGGTATTAATATAATGAATCTAAGAAAAATGTTTCGTTGTTGATTTGTGTTAATTTTTGTTATTGGAATCCTAAATTATAAAGAAAAAATATAGAAATCAGTAAGATATAAAATTAGTTAATCTGAAGATAAACCAAAATGCATACATATACTAAGGTTCAGATTTGCAAAAAACACAAAGTCATAGCTGATACAGAATTCCGAAACAAAATATCTTAGACACTTCAGAATCCCTAATCAAAATATAAAGTCCTAATCGCAGATCCCGAGTTCAATTGTTTCACGAGTTTGATGGAGGAGCGGACCTTGGAACCTGAAATACTCTACCGGTATATGGAGTAACAAATATCATGGAAGATGTACTTCGATTACGCGGTACTCCAAGAGGTCGAGTGGATCGATAACGGAGACTTCGTGAAGTCAGAGGATTACTCTGGCTGGATTGGGCATGAGGAGGATTACTTTGGCTGGATTGGGCAGGAGGATGATTACTCTGGCTCGATTGAGTCATTTGGGGCGGGGGATGGTTCTGTCTTCGTCTAGGATGATGAATCCGGCCAGGTCTCGGAGGATTAACTTGACTCGATGGACCAGCTTGGACTGAATTTTGACTCGATTGGACCGAATCGACAGAAACATTTGTCGTTGTTCTGGTTCTTTTTGATGATCCAGGTTGCCTTGATGGTCCACCAACCTATTTAGACAGAGAAACAAATTTATCAGCATTTGACTGAGATGACAAAATTATATGTAAGACATACCTCTAATTTTTTTGGTCTTCCTCGGCCCCGTTTTGGTACATTAATCTGCACCGGGTCATTTATACATGTGCTTGTATTATGCCCAGACTGTTTACACCGACTACATGTCATTATTCGACCATGCCGAGTCATATGACCTTTCTTTGTAGGAGACTCGTGAGGATCTTTTTTTCGGTTATGCTTCCTCGGTCGCCCAGGCATCGGCCTCTTTTCAGGTACACCGATAGGATCTCTTCCCAACTTACGCCACAATGGTTCTCCATTAACAGGCAACAGATTTTTCTCATAAGTTTGTTTCCATTTGGATGTCAAAAAGTATCCAGAAGTATACCTAAAAGAAATTTTACCAAGAAAAAGGATTACATCATATATAAAGAAAGGAACATAAAAAAATATATGTTCATACAGATACCTTGTAAGGTCATCTTTTCTTGCATTGAGCACACACAGTGCGTGCTCACATGGTAATCCGGTTAAATCCCATCGTCTGCATGCACAGGTCTTCCCTCCAAGGTCCACGGTATAACTTATACCGAATTGTAATACTTCATATCTTCCATGTCCACTTGGTATCGACATACAATAGACTGACCTCTGCCGAACAACTTCTATATCGTCCATTACATCTGGGGGAAAAGGAGTGATACAGCATTGTTGAATGTCTTACCAAAGCTTAGATGATCATCTCCTTCAACCGATTTTCTTGTTTTCAGACCGCCTAAATTAGGTCTCTCAAAAGACTCCCACTCATCTGCTGTATTTTGCGGTGTCCGAGGATAAAAATCGTCTTTATATGCATTATCCTCATCGCTCACGTATTCAGCAGGAAAAAGTATATTATAAATAATAATAAGATTTTTAAAATATTTTTAATTAGTTTTAAAAAATTATATGTATAATAATTTTTGCAAAAATAATATATATACACACACATAAATATATATATATATATATATACCTGTACTTTTACAAAACTCCCATATAAATACCTGAACTATAAAATTTCCAAATAAATACCTGTACTTTTCAAAAGTTCCACATAAATACTCAGACTTTTGAAAAAATTTCCAAATTACACCAAAATCTATTAACGTCGTTTAGCTTGTAACGGAATCCGTCTAACATTGATGAGTCATCATTTGAAATCCTAACAAGCATCCACGTCATAAGCCACATAGGATGAACCGGTAAATTGACTAGTAATTGAAGATGTAACCGGTTCGATTAAAAATTTCAGAAAACCTAAAATCCCTAAATCCCAATACGAGCCAAAATTCTCCCCAAAAACACAGAACAATAGAAACCCTAAATCACAAAAACTCTCTCGATCTAAAGATCCTCCTCTTGGTCGGACTCGGTGTGAAACTCGTCGGCCACTGTGTCTACTCTACCCTTGGACTCTCCTCTCACTGGCGAATCGACATTCTCCTCTTGTCAGTCCCTCTGTGAAGGTAAGTATCGAGATTAGGGTCTGTCGCTCTCGATGTCTCACCTTTTTTCTATTTGGTGGACTGTAGGGTTCGATTTCACCTCGTCTGTGGTCGATTCCTCTGGATATATGGTGAGTGCTAGGTTTAGGGTCTATTTTAGGTAACGAGCTTGGTTCTGGGTATAGGTTCAGTGTTTGTTTTAGTATCTTTGATGGGTCTATCGCTTTCGGTCTCTCACCTCCTCTCTATTCGATAGATTCTAGGGATCGATTTCACCTCTCTCTCGTCGGTCCCTCTGGATATATGTTTGGTTCTAGGTTTAGGGTCGATTTTATGGTAACGAGTTCGGTTCTGTTTATAGGTCCAGTTCTGGTTTTAGTGTCGTTGATGGTTATTCATAAGTTTTTGAAATCTCTGCAGGGATACATTGTTGGTGTGAGAAATGACAAAAATAATCAGGGTGAATTTTCATCTTGGAGGAATTTTTACAAGTGTGGATGGACAACTCATCTACATGGGGGGATTTAAGGTTAAAGGAGTGAAGTTTGATCCAGATAAGTTATCATGGTTTGTATTTGAGAAGTTTGTTCATTCCCGTAAGATATCATCTCCCATTTCTGTGATATTGTATAAGTTGCCGCATGAAAGTATGCAAGAATTGAGGGTAGTTAAGGAAGACGTGGATTGGGAGATTTGTGATATGTGTAAATTAGCTGAGGAAGGGCAGGAGATAGATGTATATGTAGATCATGAGGTATCAGAACTAAACGTGATACCATGTCTTCCTGAAAGTGAAGGGTGTCCGGATGAGGTTCAGAATGAGAATGTTGGGGAAGGCATATCTGAAGAATTTGTTGTAGAAGAGGGAGATCAGAATGAAAAGGTTAGGAATGAAGAGATTTTAGAAGAAGAGGTTAGGGCAGAAACTGGTTTGAATGAAGAGGTTTTAGAAGATGAGATTCAAAATGAAGAGGTTTTAGAAGTTGAGGTTCAGAATGAAGAGATTTTAGAAGAAGAGATTAGGGAAGAAGAGGTTCAGAATGAAGAAGTTAGAGAAGAAGTGGCTAGGGAAGAAGAGTTTCAGAATGAAGAAGTTAGAGAAGAAGTGGCTAGGGAAGAAGAGTTTTTGAATGAAGATGTTAGAGAAGAAGTGGCTAGGGAAGAAGAGTTTCAGAATGAAGATGTTGGGGAAGAAACTGGCATAGAAGAAGATCAGGTTCAGAATGATTGGAACGAAGAGATTTTAGAAGAAGAGGTTCCTACTGATGATGTAGAGGAAAATGATTTTCTTAGAAGGTCATCATATGAACATCCTGCTGAGAGGATAATGCAAATAAAGACGATTTTTATCCTCGGACACCGCAAAATACAGCAGATGAGTGGGAGTCTTTTGAGAGGCCTAACTTAGGCGGTCTGAAAAGAAGAAAATCGGTTGAAGGAGATGATCATCTAAGCTTTGGTAAGACATTCAACAATGCAGAGGAATTTAAAGATGCTGTTTTCCAATACATGCTGGCAACTAAATATAATGTGAGAATTTCCAGATGGGAGAAGACCAAGTATGTTGTTGTGTGTAATAGGGAGACTTGTCCGTGGAGAGTATATTGTTCAATAGATGTCCCTTTGAATAAATGGGTGATAAAGACGTATGACCCGGATCATAATCACACCAAAGATGGACATGCATCATTATTGACGATGAGACACATTGCAGCCATGTTCAGTGAAATCCTCAGAAGACAGCCTTCATACCCTGCTGCCCAAATGCAACATGATTTGCAAACAGAATGTGAGATGACAGTGTCTTTATCAAAGTGCTTCAAAGCTCGACAAATCGCTTTAGGAGTTTTGATGGAGGATCAAAGAGTTCAGTTTGCAAAGCTATGGGATTATGAAGCGGAACTAAGGAGATCAAATCCTAACACGACAACGGAAATTGTGACGAAAATAGAATCTGGTCACCAAGTGTTCGATCGGTTTTATGTATGTTTCGAGGTTTTACGTGAAACTTGGAAGAAACATTGCCGCCATGTGATCGGCTTAGATGGATGTTTTTTGAAATGGGAGTTCAAAGGAGAACTCCTTTCTGCTGTTGGCAGAGATGCGAACAACCGGATTTATCCTATAGCATGGGCAGTTGCACGAATGGAAGATATCGAAAGTTGGACGTGGTTTGTGCGTAAGTTACAAACAGACTTGGACATTGGGGAAGGACACAATATTACTATACTCTCGGACAAGCAAAAGGTGAAGCAACATATTATTTGTTTTTATTACATGCAATCGGATGATATAACTTATAAGATATTTTTTGTATTTGATTTCAGGGTCTGATAAATGCTATTGAGAATGTGCTGCCACATGCTCATCATCGTATGTGTACTCGACACATATATGCCAATTGGAGGAAGTCGTTCAAAGATTTGGAGCTAAAGAGAATGTTTTGGGCAGCTGCTAACAGTTTTCATGAAGGTGAGTTTCGGCAGCACCTGGAAGCTATCAAGAAATATAATCAGTTGGCGTATGAGGCATTGATCCGTTCACGACCGAAACAATGGGCTAGAGCATTCTACAGTCTTGAGTCTAAGTGTGCTGATATAAACAACAATTTGTCGGAGAGTTTCAATGGGTCAATCAAAGAAGCACGTATGAGACCTATGATCGACATGCTGGAAAGCATCAGGAGACAAACAATGCAGAGAATTGCGAAGCGGCAACAACAGTCCAGCTCTTGTATCACTCCTTTTCCCCCAGATGTAATGGACGATATAGAAGTTGTTCGGCAGAGGTCAGTCTATTGTATGTCGATACCAAGTGGACATGGAAGATATGAAGTATTACAATTCGGTATAAGTTATACCGTGGACCTTGGAGGGAAGACCTGTGCATGCAGACGATGGGATTTAACCGGATTACCATGCGAACACGCACTGTGTGTGCTCAATGCAAGAAAAGATGACCTTACAAGGTATCTGTATGAGTATTTTTTTTCTATGTTCCCTTCTTTATATATGATGTAATCCTTTTTCTTGGTAAAATTTCTTTTAGGTATACTTCTGGATACTTTTTGACGTCCAAATGGAAACAAACTTATGAGAAAAATCTATTGCCTGTTAATGGAGAACCATTGTGGCGTAAGTTGGGAAGAGATCCTATCGGTGTACCTGAAAAGAGGCCGATGCCTGGGCGACCGAGGAAGCATAACCGAAAAAAAGATCCTCACGAGTCTCCTACAAAGAAAGGTCATATGACTCGGCATGGTCGAATAATGACATGTAGTCGGTGTAAACAGTCTGGACATAATACAAGCACATGTATAAATGACCCGGTGCAGATTAATGTACCAAAACGGGGCCGAGGAAGACCAAAAAAATTAGAGGTATGTGTTACATATAATTTTTTCATTTCAGTCAAATGCTGATAAATTTGTTTCTCTGTCTAAATAGGTTGGTGGACCATCAAGGCAACCTGGATCATCAAAAAGAACCAGAACAACGACAAATGTTTCTGTCGATTCGGTCCAATCGAGTCAAAATTCAGTCCAAGCTGGTCCATCGAGTCAAGTTAATCCTCCGAGACCTGGCCGGATTCATCATCCTAGACGAAGACAGAACCATCCCCCGCCCCAAATGACTCAATCGAGCCAGAGTAATCGTCCTCCTGCCCAATCCAGCCAGAGTAATCCTCCTCATGCCCAATCCAGCCAGAGTAATCCTCTGACTTCACGAAGTCTCCGTTATCGATCCACTCGACCTCTTGGAGTACCGCGTAATCGAAGTACATCTTCCATGATATTTGTTACTCCATATACCGGTAGAGTATTTCAGGTTCCAAGGCCGGCTCCTCCATCAAACTCGTGAAATGATTGAACTCGGGATCTGCGATTAGGACTTTATATTTTGATTAGGGATTCTGAATTGTCTAAGATATTTTGTTTCGGAATTCTGTATCAGCTATGACTTTGTGTTTTTTGCAAATCTGAACCTTAGTATATCTATGCATTTGGTTTATCTTCAGATTAACTAAATCTGTATCTTACTGATTTCTATATTTTTTCTTTATAAATTAGGATTTCAATAATAAAAATTAACACAAATCAACAACGACACATTTTTCTTAGATTCATTATATTAATACCAACAACAACATACAAACATTAGTCTTCATGACAAATCCAAACACATAAACCATCTTCACTCTTTTAATAACCCATAATAGTACAACCCAACCGAAATAAAAACCACCATTCCTATGAGCATTTTTTGGCAAATTGCTTTGAATTCTTGAACCTCAGCTTCAATCCTCTTAAGTCTAACTTCGATCTTGTCAATTCGAACTTTCATTTTCTCATTTTGAACTTCTATCTTGTCATTCCGAACTTCGATCTTCTCATTTTGAACTTCGATCTTCTCATTCCGAACTTCGATCTTCTCGTTTCGAACTTTTATCTCCTCTTTCAATGATTGCAGTTCTTCGATAATGGCTTCATCGACCCATTTCCATACGTGTGAATAATTTTCCTGAAACGTATAATTGTAATTCATTTACGATTCTTACTAAAACGCATAAAAAAAATGTGAAACTAACCTCTTGTGATTCGCAACAGAAGAATAATCTTCCTGGGTTTTTGGAAGTTTTCGATATCAATTTTATAATCTGGCGTCCACATTCACATTGTTGTGGTAATCCTTTTTGTTTGGATGATCTAGGACTGCAACACACTTGTGAATTGGTCGAACTCATGAATCTGAAAATCCTAAACCAGAAACATTAAACGTCAATCAACATAATCCAACCACAAACAACAGCTCAACATAAACTCAAATCTAAGAAAAATAAACCCTAACAGTCAAATAACAATATGAATCTGAATCTAAGAAACATAAACCCTAACTTTTTGAAAATGGACTTCAACTAAATCCTAAACCATACACACTTACCTAGACGAACCGACGAGGTAGGATGGAAGCTAGACTGGCGGCGAAGAAAAGACGCCGACACGACGCGGAGAACAACGCAGATGACGAACAGAGAGAGAGGAGAAAGGGAGATGATGAACAGAGAGAGGAAAAGGGGAGATGACGAAGGGAGATGAAAATATGAGAGGATAAATCGTGCTGGGGATGAAAAATACACATTTTAGGGTTTTTAAATTTTTTTACCAAACCGGATTGGTTTTTATCAAACCGCTCCGATTAATTAAACCGGTTACTCCGACATGGCTAAACACGTGGATGCTGAGTAGGATTTTAGAACGCTGAATCATCACTTTTTTAAATGAACAGTGACACGTTAAACGCCGTCAACGAATCCTGCATAATTTGGAAATTTTTTCAAAAGTCTGAGTATTTAGGTAGAACTTTTGAAAAGTACAGGTATTTATTTGGGAATTTTATAGTTCAGGTATTTATATGGGAGTTTTGTAAAAGTTCAGGTATTAAAATGCGATTATCCCTATAAATTACAAAAAAGTATATTATAAATAATAATAAGATTTTTAAAATATTTTTAATTAGTTTTAAAAAATTATATGTATAATAATTTTTGCAAAAATAATATATATACACACACATAAATATATATATATATATATATATACGGACTTAAAAAATTGTCATTGAGGTAGTATAAAAATTACTATAATTTAAAAGATAAATTTAAATTTTTTATAGGGGTATTTAATAGTTTTTATTTAAAATTTATAAAATTTATAATGAAATTAATTTTTTAATAAAAATGGGGGCATCGTCTTGGTAACTAATAAGTTGGGCCCATCCATGTATATATATATATATATATATATATGATTGTATGTATGTGTATATGTAAGTATATAGTATGTATGTATATATGTATCCATGTGTATGTGATTGTTTATATAGATTTTAGGGTTTTAAAATTTTTAAAACGTATTTGGTATTTTTATAAACATTACATTTTTCAAATGAAACATTTTTATAAATATTTTGGTCATTTTATCCAAACGCCGCGGCAAAATGTTATCAAAATGGAGTTAAAAATATATAATCCAATTATTAACATTTTTATGGCGATTGTAATTTGTAATCATATCAGTTAGTTTTTTAACGGCTGCAAACAATAGAGTCGCTCTCATTTAAGTTATCTAGGAGTGGCTCAATCAATTCATTTAAATTATCTTTGACTGTATAGTCTCATACTTACATATCTTTCGGATCCTTTTCATTCTGTTGCATTCGATTCATCCATATATCCCCTACCCAGAAGTTCGTCAAGAGCCGCTCTTTGTCTATACCTCTCGCATCGGCAATTACTCCCCAACTTCCTATGGTATCCTGGACTGTCACACCGAGAATGATAAAAAAAAATTGGGACAGTATAATCAAATGGTGATTATATTGGTTATAATGTTAAATTTATAATAATCACATCAAAACCTTCATAAAGCTTTTTTGTTACCATTTTATCTGTGTTGAGACATTTTAACTGAAAATACAAAAGAAAGATAATATGGTTTTTATATTTAACTATAATAAAACTACACATTATATTGTATTGAGATATTATCCAAAATACTTTTTTTTTTGTGAAAACTATTTCTTCAATGACAGTATAATCAAAGATTATATTGGTTATAATGGTAAATTTATGATGATTACATCAATTTACTATTATTACACCTTATATATTATACTAATCATTTGGTGAAACCATCATAAATTTAATGTTATAAATAATGTGATCGTCATTTGACTATAATATCATTCTAATACCATGATCACATATAAAGATGGTATATGTAGCGTAATTTTACCAAAAAGAGAATATTTTGGATATTTCGTACCATATCTAATTTACATCAAAATCATAGGTAGAATCCTCCTCCTCCATAACACAATGTTATCTCCACATTAGATATCCATTAATTTTGGATTTAGTTTGATTATTTTGTTTTATAAAAACTTTATTCATTTCATTTTTTATATTTATTTTAGTTTCATATAGATTTATACGGGTTCGATTTGAGTTAAAAGAATATTTTTAAAAAAATTAATTTTATTCACTTTTTTAGGATTTGAGTTAAAAGAACATTCTAATTATATCAATATTTTATTACCTCTATATTCGATTTTATAATAGTGATATGAAATCAGATCAGATTCATTCTTAGAATATTTTTTTTGGAAATGTATATCCGTATGTTACGTTATACATCACGCGATCCACCTCCAACTAATGTTCGTTTTATTATATAGTTTTTAACGAAAAAACATATTGTTGTATTTTGTATGGCAGGCCGATCTGTTTTCAATTCAATTTGATATTTGACATTTTGATTTTTTTTACCCCAAAAAAACCGGAATATAAAAAGTAAAAAAAAATACTCCCAAAAGACTACCCTCACACAAGCACTCCCTAGTTTCTCTCTGCTACTGGCTGCACAGAAACCACCGTCCCCCTCTCTCTCTACATTTAATATCTCGTCCACAGGGAGAGAGAGAGAGACGCGATCCATCGTTTGCCAGTCATCGACGCTTGAAACTATCTTCGATCGTCGCCGGTAAGAAGACGCCGTCGTCCTCATCGGAAGACTCTCGGCGGAGGAGTTCTTTTTTTTTTCTCGCTGAAGTCTGCGCCTAACTTCCGGCAAGTCAAATCTGTCGTCATTTTTTCAATCTATGTTGGCTTTCTCCTTAGATGCAGATTTGTAGTTCGGTTGTTCGATTTATGCATTGCTCTTTGTGCTTTGTATGTTTTTTGTGTTTGCATTTCGTAGTCATAGCTCAGTGCTTCTCTGGTTTGGCCGGATTTGAGATCGCGGCTCCGATTTTCTCCCACTTTTTTGGTGTTCTCTACGATTTTGAGTTTGTACTTGCTGTATTGATTTGTTTCACGACCATCATACCAATCTGGCCGAAGAAGAATCGAATTGACGGCTCTATGTGCTAAGGATCTGCCACTATGGATTCATTTTCTTTACGCATTAGTAGATTTGGAGTTTTGGTTTACAGATCAGTGGAATCATTCTGAATTATGGGAGTTACATCTTACTTACTGGTTTATGTATCTTATCGCAGCTTGCTTGTTCTGGACTTGATGGATCAGGTTGGTGCAAGAATTGTTTTTGTTCATTTAGTATGGCTAAATCCTGACAAGTATTTTGTAAATTATCCAGTATGAGAAAGTTGAGAAGATCGGTGAAGGAACTTACGGAGTAGTTTATAAGGCTCGGGATAAAGTGACCAATGAGACAATAGCTCTGAAAAAGATCCGCCTGGAGCAGGAGGACGAGGGGGTACCCAGCACTGCGATAAGAGAAATTTCACTCCTGAAGGAAATGCAGCATGTCAACATCGTCAAGTATGAATTTCTAAGTTTCTGTTTGTGAATTTGTGGCTCACTGTCATGAGAGCGAACACTGGACTGCATACTAATTCAATGTGTTTCTTCCCGTTCTCGTTTTGCATATTAATGTATGACTGCCATTCATTTTTCACCCGTGTTTAAGAATTTAACAAACAATTTGGGCTGATTAGTAAGTGTGCCTGTCAGGTTGCAGGATGTGGTGCATAGTGAGAAGCGTTTGTATCTTGTCTTTGAGTATCTAGACTTAGACCTGAAGAAGCACATGGACTCGTGTCCCGATTTCTCAAAAGATCTACATATGATAAAAGTGAGTACAATGTTTTGTCGGTTAACTACAAGTTAATTGTCTATTTTTCATCGGTATGTGCTAAAGATACTATGTGTTTCTTCCTGTATAATGTTGCTGTTTGCTGTTTGCTGTTTGCAGACATATCTGTATCAAATTCTCCGTGGAATTGCTTACTGTCACTCTCATAGGGTTCTCCACCGTGATCTGAAGCCGCAAAATTTGTTGATCGATCGCCGGACAAATTCGCTTAAACTGGCAGATTTTGGACTGGCCAGAGCATTTGGTATCCCTGTTAAGACATTTACTCATGAGGTGATAGCATATTGCTTGACATGCTTTTCTAGTTCATGTACGTTTCCTGATGCATCCACGCTGCATTTGCATCCACGCTGCATTTAATCTTAGGAACTATGACTGACTTCTACATTTGATGTTTCATAGTTTTGAATGAAGACTAATACTTTCTGTTGGATTTTAAATTTTAATATGCGTAGCCAAGTACATAGCTCTCAATTGTTCAATTATACTGGCTTCAAAATAACATTTTGATGGTTGATTTGCACATATTGAGATTGTCATTCATATAATGCATCTTATTTCTCTTTAGGTTGTTACACTCTGGTACCGAGCACCAGAGATACTGCTTGGATCTTGTCATTATTCTACTCCCGTTGATATTTGGTCAGTTGGTTGCATATTTGCCGAGATGGTCAACAAAAAGCCTTTATTTCCTGGAGACTCTGAGATCGATGAGCTATTCAAGATTTTCAGGTTTAATACTGACTTCTTCAATCCAATTTTATTGGTATTTCATAGGAGCCAGAAACCTGTTGTGATTATGAGACAAGAATAGAACTTTGTGTGATTATATTACTAGAGATTCCATTTCAGTAGTTGCTTTAACCATCACAACCCACCAATGAAGAAAACGTAGGTTTAAAGTTTCCGATTTCTCAACTCAAAATCTAATTGTCGGAGAAAATTAACAAAAGAACAGAGAAAACAAACATTCCAACATAATATTCTGTCTTAGTGATGACTCTCCTTTTTACTTTCCCTTGTGAAGAATCATGGGGACTCCCAATGAGGATACATGGCGTGGGGTGACTTCACTGCCAGATTACAAATCTGCATTTCCCAAGTGGAAACCAAAGGTACTCACAAGTTTCTCTCATAACGACCACTCACTCCGGCTGCTATATCCTTAATCCTTTTTTATATACATTGAAGAAACACAATGTGTACCCCTCTTCCTTTTTTCGCCGCAGGACTTGACGTCCATTGTCTCCAATCTTGATCCATCTGGAATAGATCTTCTCTCCGTAAGTTCATTAATCTAAATTTTGAACACATATACACATACACACACACAATATACGTAGAGGGAGAATGCACCCATGTGTATGTATTCGATTCATGTGCATATAGGAGCATGCTATTCTGTTGGTTGAGTCTGAATGATCGAGCATTATTCAATTTCTACCACCTGGGTCTGGTTAACCGAAACCGAACCAAAGTTGGTTACCTGAACCAACCAACTGAAAAACCTGACACCAGAGCCTTCGGTCTTGTCTCCTTATGCTTATACATACTTGTGTCATATATTCGAGATAATACTATATGAAACACATAAAACCGACAGCTATTTTCCAGATCAGAAAAAAAAAACGTGTGAGAACAACTGAGTTTTTTTTTTAAATATATTTCTGTTTATTGGATTCAGAAAATGCTGAGCATGGATCCAACCAGAAGAATCACTGCAAGGAGTGCCCTTGAGCACGACTACTTCAAGGATCTCGGATTCGTTCCCTAAGTAAAATCTTCTTGAGCCCTTCTTCATTCTGAATTATTTCCCGCTCTTAATCTTTGATTAAACAGGCATGGAAAATATATTAGTTTGTATGTTTGTTGGTCTTTTCGTTTAAATATCTGAGCATATATCAGTTTGTTTGGGATGGCGTATAAAAAAAACTATCCACAGTGTGTTTTTCTCTCTCAGATTTTCACCTTTTGAAAATTTTGTTGGAACCTACTTCGGCATGAAAACTAGTGTATGTATTCCCCGTAACGATTTTACATGTAATGTTATTTTGTGTTGTCTTAGTTACTCGGTGAGACATGGATTTTATTTATGACTCTCTCTCTCTCTCACTCTCTCTCTATATATATATATATATATATATATATATATATATACTGGTTCGTTTTGAACTTGAAGAATAGGAAGATTAGTAAATTTGAATGTTATTTTTTATCCCTCAGATAAGTTTTAATTAATGCTTTGTGCAAAACTTATAGTAGTTTGCTGACTTATGTAGACCGTCGTAGGCTTTCACGAAATACGTAGGTGGTGTTCGTGTATAGATATTTAAGATTTATTTTATTTTAAATATCTAAAGCTGTGATTGATATACATAGATCGCGGGAACAGAACCAGGCCACCGTTGCCTACCCAAAAATAAGAATATATAAATCTTTAAATTAATGATTCAACAAACAAATAAATGGTTGCCTCTTTCAAAACGGTGGGAGTTCGAAGAAAACGATTCAATCTTTTTTTTTCCAGCGAAAAGATTCTAAATATTTGAAGAAAAAAACACTAACATAAATGGTATAAAAACCACGCTATGAAGTAAGTAACGCTGTTTGGATATAAATTGGCTACACATGCGAGTATGAGTGCATCGGTGATGAAGAATCGAATCGAAAAATACGATATTTTTTTTATCCGACTGTTCAAAATTTTCGAACGGTTTTAATTTAAAAAAAAATCGAATTTTCTAAAATCAAATCAAATTAAAAAAACCCGGATATAACTGATTTTTTCTTAATATAAATGGGAACCAAACCGAAACAGAGAGTGAAACCGAACAAAATATAATATAATAAACGATTGGTATCTATTTTTGTAAAACCGAAAGAATCGAACTAAACAATTTTCGATCCGATCCCGAACTGAATACCGAAATAATGTCCATCCGTATATATAAACGATTGTACAATAACTTGTACAACAAACGATTGGTATGTATGGCACACATAGAGACCCTGTAGTGCTTCAAAATGTTTATGTATCCACGATTCGGTAAAAAGAGGACAAAAAGGAGGGATATACAAAGCCCAAAAAAAAAAAATCATTTCAATAGAATTGGCATGTAAAGAGGAGAGGGAGAGGAGGGACGATGAAGGGGTTTGATCCATCTCTCTCCGAGACGCTTCCCACAGCAGTTTCTCCATCCCAAGTTTCCTCAGCTCTTCCATTCCTCTTTCCACTGTCGCACCCAATGTTTCAACCATACTTACAACAAGATATGAACAAATTAATGATGAATAATCCAGAAGAAGGATTGTTCATCTGAGGAAAAAAGGAAGAAGAAGGAGGTACCGTCAACAGCGTCTTGAGAAGACGGAGATTGCCCACAACGACCGATCCAGAAGTGTAGGCGTTCGTCTGAAATGTCTTCTTCCACACCATACAACTTGGCTCTTCCCCACAAGTACATCAACCATGCCTGCATGCAATTTCCACTTTTATATATATATAACACTTGAAACTGGGCATACATAATACAATATGCATAACATACAATGAATATATATATACACACATGATGGAATCCTGCATTTAATATTCTTTGCATGGAACAATAAATAAACAAATATACATCAACAGATCCATAGGTATGCGTATAATCGCATTTTTTTAATATCTTATCTCTAGCTATATATAGAGACATCAAATAACACTCACACACACACACACAAACATATATATATATATATATATATATATATATACGTGCGTAATCGCATTTTATATCCCTTATATCTAGAGTTTAGATTGTTTTTTGAAAGAAGTGCACCAGTTGCTGTATATGCGTGTGTGTGTATATATATATATATATATATCATTTCTTGTCTACATATAGCTAGAGGCATATATGCAGAAAGAGCACTAATATCCTGACCGTATCACTATGCCGAGATACCTATGGCTGTCGTGACCAAGCAAAAGGCAGTACTAACAAGCACATATCGGGAAAAACCGATGCAATGGTCAAATACTATTTATGATTTCTGATGAATATTGCACTGTTGCACAGAAAGAAGTGAGTAGGCATGGTCTTCCACAAGATTTAAAGAGTTTTTGTGAGGGAATGTGTATCGTGAAAACATAGGTGTGTGGGCATAAATAACAGTACCTGCTTAAAGGCAACATCTTCTGCTTCCTCTTCACTTAGTTCTGCATTTTAAACAACACCAGAACATGGTGCAAAATTAGTTATTTTAACCACATGGTTTGACAATGTCAAACGGATATTATTTTCATTTTCTATATGTTAATCATTTCGGATGAGCAATTAAACTAAAAAACTAGACTCTTCATCATAGACAAATTTATAAAACCTTAGGGAAAGAAACAATTCTGTGCTTACCGTATCCGTCAACAAATTTGGGATCTCCATGGCCCTTGGGATCTGTAATATCGTGGAAAAAGAGGAGGTGAACATTTGGATTTTAACTACTAAAGCAATTTGGAAGAAACCTTTCATTACCATATGAAATGGGCAAGCATGCAAAATATATAATTTTTTTATCGTCATATTACTTAGCAGTCAACAACGAGTAGCATACTTGTCCATCATTTAGAGATTCTAAGAACCAAAGTTAGTGCAAAGAGGGTATAAATCTCCCATCGTCATTGTATGATAAAACCTGTAAATATTATATACGCACCAGAGACAGTTTGACGAATCAAACTCGGTCTTCTCCGTTGGGCAAATGCAAGCACAACAGCATCCTCAATCTAATCCTCCAAGCAACGGAACCTCATAGTTAACTCTAAACCCTGTCGAGGACAAGCTATTTTATGTGACAACACATAAAACATTAGTGCAGAAACAATTATACACCTTTAATGACGCTAACTCTCGCAAACCCATCTCAACTGAAAGCATACTTTCAATATTTCCTTCCCCAGTTAGATCACTTAAATCTCTAGCAGTTTTACTCCGACCACTTCCACCTGCTCAATTTTATAATGTGATAATTAAAGATGCAGTGAAGAGCAAAAGGCAAGGACAGCTCTTAAAAGTTTAGATATATAGCAGACTAGCCTTTATTCTGAGACAACTCCTTGGCCTTTTGCGCTGCAGATATGACTAGCTCAAATGGGAGGGGAGCCAAAGCTGACCAATGTTCATGCCTAGATGGTGCTATATCAGCACAGATGCCTACAGAAGGACATGGAAATGCAAAGATCTGAGGAATTTGATGAACGAGTACACTACAGGCATATACATTTGATATGATTATTATTAGGTAGAGAATACCTAGGGCCACCAGAATAACTAGTTACAGATGTAAATTACGAAATTCATTCTCAAGCTCAAAAGTTTATATATATAAAGAATTACTTACCATGCTGCACAGCCAACCCCCAATACCGAGCAAGCCAGCATCTCTTTAGAACTACTTCCTCCTAAGAGATAGATATTGCATACAATGAAAACTTCAAGAACCATTGCACATAATAAGACCCGAATTCTGTTGACAAACCATTTCGTCTTGTGTCAAGATCATTCTCTGAGTCATTGTACGAAGAGATTTTGCTTCAGATTCTGCTTCTGTGAGCTGTTCCAAAGCTGTTGCAGACTCATCTTTGAGGCTCTGACCATAAACTTGTCAGCATCACTTCACCATGCAGATCAAAATAGCGCACCATATTGAAACGAGCAATATCGATAAACATTACCTGAAGTTCTGAACGAAGGGAAGCAACTTCTTCATCTTTCCCATCTTTTTTCTGTTTAGCAGCCCTTAGAGCTGCCTGTAACAAGTAGCAATTTGTTGTTCATACAATTGTATCGTTCACAGAAACATTTATGAGACAAAAAATGTGGCATCTGTATCACTAAACACATTAACCTCTCTTTGACGCAATGCTGCTTCCTTCCTGAAGAAAGACGTAACTCAGAATAAACGACTCATCAACAGCAGTATCAAAAAACAAAACAAAAACAGAAGGAAGAGAAGTCTCCTACCTGCTCAACAATTTAGCCTCCAGAGATACTCCTTCTCCAAGTGAAGCAACCTTTGGAATAAAAGGCAACAAAAAGATTACTTGAAAGCCTTGGACATATTGAAAATACCTATGATGATACCAAGTAACAACCTTTTTAATGATTATATTAAAATGGCAATATCAACCTATCCTATACATGCATCTGCATATATGTTTGGGTAATTAAACACACGCTGCATCTCCTGGTCTTCCAAGAACTGATGGAATGGTAACCATCAAACATATTTTCCGTGTTATGGGCACCTAAAACGATTAAGTAGGATACTATAACCAAGAGAAGCAAAAGCAGCAAATGTGTCCACTATGAATGCCAACAAGATCTAAACCTGTTTCTCTAGCTCCCTAGCCCTAGCCTCCGCCTCCTCACACTTTTCTTCAGCACGACGAAGCTGTATTCAATAACAAATGTTATACGTACGCGACATGAGTTCATTAGGTACTTTCAATTTCCAAATCCAATGGAAGAAATCAAACCTTGTCCAATATAATCTCATTCTCCTCTTGTAGCATATCTAGCTGCAATCAACATTGAGTAGGCTTCAAATCAAAAGTTCCCAACCCACATGACAGACTAGCATTTTAAAAATCAATCTAAATAAGCATGAAAGCCGTAAATTGAGCATATAACCCGCAAATACTCATTGGAAAGCATCACATACCTCATCACGAAGAGCCGAAGCTTCACGTTGATCTCCCTTCTGCTTTGAATTCGCTGATGGTACATCAGCAAAAAACCTACAAACCACAAAATAATGGAATGAATCACAACCGAAGTAGGGGAAACCACAATTACGGCAAGATATGAGCCATTGACTTCTCATTTCACGTGAATCTCTAGCAGACCTGTTGATAAGCCCTGGGATCCATTGATTTAGTACTGAAGAGATGATTGTACATCAACTCCAGACCAAAAACAAAAGAAAGAAAGTGGCCTTGATAAACTCCACAAAGTAGCGTGCTCTCTCGACAACAAAAGATTCGATTTCGAACACAATAAAAAATAAACAGAATTTCAAAATTTCCCGAAACGAATATATAGATAAGCTAAAGCGGTTTCACCTTTTATCTCTGTTCCTAGGAGGATCAATCGGGGGAACAGCAACCGGAGTTTTGGGTGACACCTTCCTCGGTGGCATGAGATTAAGAGTCGGAGTCGTGGATCTGACAGACCTCGACGGCCTTACGGTGGAGGCTGAACGCACTGAGGGCACTTGGTCCATGAAGTTCCTGCCTAACTAATCAAAGCACGAAAACTAACTCCGAATCAGCCCTAGGAAACCAAGTTCTTCACTGGTACGCCAAAATTCAGAAATCACCGGTCATTTCGCGCAAGTGAAGCTAAATCACGAGTCACCAGCTCTTATGAAAGCGGAAATTCACCGCAGGCGATGGCGATCTGTTCCGCGGAGCGAAGGAAACCGCCGGCAAGTTACCGGTCCCGTTGGTATTGTTGCTGCCAGCGGGAGAAAGCGCAGAAGGAGCATGAAGACCTGGTTTGAGAGGAGCAGCGAATCTGAGTACGCTTGACGGTGGAGAAACCTCCGACACCCACGAGCTGCTTCCGGTGAGCCGGAGACATTGCCGGAGAAATCGAGTCCGTACTGCTCGATCCACCGGTCCACTGGCGTCCGTACACCGGGCTTCCCGCCCTCCTCCGATCCATCAGCAGTGCTCGTCGAGATGCTTGTAAGCCAGATGGGAAGTCGATCGCAGGAAGGAACGGCGGTAAATCGGAGGAGAGAGAATATTATCGCGGAAAAGCTTAGATTTTCCCGAGAAAAAACCGGAAGGAAAGAAAACTTCGGTGGGAGAATGAGACTTCGAAACGACGCCGTTTGATGCGAGATGAACAGCAACAACCGCGGGAGGAAAACGAAAAGAGCTGGGAAAACGGTGGGATGTTCATCATTCAGTTATTTGTATTATAATCTTTCGTTTAAATTCAAAGGCGTCATTACTATATCATCCTTATTCGACCATTTTGTTTACATTATATAAAATAGAATAGAATCCAATCAGAATTAATATAATATAATCAATTTTTGAGATTGAAAGAAATTGAATAAATATGAAAATTAAATTAAAATCTTAAATATTTATAGAGATAATTATTTTTTAATTAAAAGAAGTAGGAATATAAACTCAAATTTAAAAAATTAACATAAAGAATGATTATAATTTTTAAAACTAAGAACTCCAAAACCATGTGTATATGCATGTTGGTATGAATATCGAATTTAAGAGTTTCTAATTTAAAACAAGATAAAACTAAACAAAACTGGATATAAATATTTAATATCACACGTACATACAATGTTGGTTTTACCTTCAATTTGTACTATTCTTATTCTTATGTTATAAATAAAATATATTTATCGTGGAGTTCACCACCGACTTACTATTCATATATACAGTTATTATTCACACTGACTGTATACTTGAACAGTAACTTCGGAATTTCTATAAATAGGCCATTTGAGTTCTTCCATTTGTACACTTTCAAGAGATACATTTTTATCCATTATCTTAAAATACAGTTTTCAGATATAGTTAACGATCTAATATCCAGGTCATTAATATTTCTTCCAATTTCATAACACGTTATCAGTATGAGCGCTCTTTCACAACTAAGTCATAATGGCAAAAATGACAAAATATCGAGTTCGAGGTCCTCGGCATATCATGAAATAATTATTTATCATGACAGTTAGATGTCGAGATTCATCTCGAATCAAAAGGTCTTACTACTACCATTAAAGAAAAAAGTGCATCAAACGAGAATAAAGCAAATGCACTAATATTATTGCGACATCATCTTCATGATGATCTGAAAAAGGAATATTTGACAATCAAAGATCCTGCAGATCTTTGATTAAAATTAAAAGACCATTTTGATCATCAAAAAACGGTGATCCTCCCCAAGGAAAAATATGAATGGACGCACCTCCGATTTCAAGATTTCAAGAATGTCAGTAAATATAACTCGGCAATGTACCGAATCACTTTGATTCTAAAATTATGTGGAGAAACAGTCACAAAAAATGAGATATTGGAGAAAACTTTTTCAACAATGCATGCCTCGAATATTATACTCCAACAACAATATCGAGAAAAGGGTAAACAAAATATTCAAAGCTTTTATCGTGTCTCCTATTGGCTGAACAAAATAATGAGCTGTTAATGAAAAAACACGCATCACGACCGACTGGATCTGTACCATTCCCTGAAGCGAATGCTGCAGAAAACAAATCATTCCCTGAAGCGAATGCTACAGAAAAAATATCATTCCCTGGAGTGAATGATATGTCTTATAATGGTCGAGGACGTGGTTATTTTCGAGGTAGAGGCTGAGGCCGAGGCCGAAGACGCGGTCGTGGTGCTAGCTGAAGTTCGATCATAGTAGGTTGTCAAGGAAACTCATTCCAAAATCATAATTTATCAATAATAAAGGGGGGGTAAATGGTCATCCAAACAAGATGATGAAATAAAGTACATGCCACCGGTGTGGAATGACGGGACATTGGTCGCGTACTTGTCGCACCGCTAAATATCTGGTGGACCTTTACTAAAAGTCGATTAAAGAAACAAAAGAGAAAGACATCGAGACCAATCATGTCATGAGTGATTATGATGATGATGATAGTGGTGCTAAGAACTTTGCACACATGGACCTCACTGATGTTTTTACTCATCCTGAAGATGGATCCGGTTATGAATAAAAACAATATAAATGTTTACATACTTTATATAATCAATATTATCTACATGTGCATTCTCATGTATAAGTAATTTCATGATATGTTGTTGTACTTTGTATCACTATTTCTACTTCATAAGTTAGTGATGATATTATGCATTATTAATATATCTATTTTTTTAATGTTTGTCATGTCGTTTTGTCCTTAAATAGAAAATGAATAGGGACATTATCAAAAATACCCTTAAAATGCTACTTATACTTCATAGTGTACCCTTCTTTCAAAAAAAAAAAAACCCCCTTCAGATATACCCTTCTCATATAAACAATTTCCATTATACCCTTATGTTATAAAACAAATAAAATTAAAATAAATAAAAATAATAATTTCCCTCCTAAAATTTATCTCTCCTCATTATCACTTTTCTTCTTTCTCCTTCGACATTTTTCATTCTCTCTCCTCCGGCATTTACGTTCTCTCTCATCCGTTTGCTCTCTCCCTCCGTTTGTTCTCTCGTATTTTGTTCTCTCTCTCCTCTAATTTTAACTTTGTCTCCGCCGCCGCCGATATACTCGATCTCTCCATCAATTTGCTCTCTCTCTCTTCTGATTTGGTTACTCTCCCTTCAGATTTGGTATCTGTGTCCTCACATTTGCTTCATTTATCCAATTTGTTTGCTCTCTCTTCGATAATTTGCGAAACTGCTTCAAATCTCGTGGAAATCAGCGGAAAATCAAATAGAATAGTGTAAATAGGTAAGTTTTGACTTAAATATTTTTATTCTGTAGATTTTTTCTTGTTTTTGAGTTGTTTACTGTGTTTTGTGGGAAAAAATTGAGTCAGATATTTGATATAGACAAATATCCATGCAGTCACACAATCGCAGCAGTCCACAAGACCAACAGAAGCAATATTATATCGGACTTATGCTCTCCATACTTTCTCCAGGAGACATGGCGGTTGGCTTATCAAAAAACAGTTTATCCGGTTTCCTGATTGTTGTGATTGGATCATTGACGACCCACGAGATGCAAACCTCGTGGTATTAACTCCGATTGTGGAAGATAAACACAAAACCGGTAGACCCAAACAAAATCGGTTTTCAGGCCCCGGCGAACCGCGGACAAAGCGTTCAAAGAAGGACAAATAAAGATATTGCATAAATAATATGATTGTCTGATTTCATGTAGTTCTCGTGACCCATGTGATTGTATACATTTTCCAGAAGGACAATCTATTTGAATAAGGTGATTTTTTTTGCACTAGTACCGTCTTAAAATCTTGAAAAGATAGAAAAAAATTTTGAACTGTGTGATCCGTGTGACTCACCCGTGACCTATGTGACCCGAAGACATTTTTACACTATGTGACCCATGTGACCCGTGACTCAATGGTCCTTATAAAACACGGTCAAATCTCGATTTTAAAGTGTTAAAATGGTCTATATGATGTTTTACAATGATAATACGGTATCTGTAAGTTAAATTCGTTAACATAAGTAAGAGTTGCATGAACATTAGTACAATTTGTTCATAAGTTATCATGAAATACTAGTGTCACTTATGAAGTACATTGGCATGAGTGACTTGAATATGAAAATTGAAGCGAGCATGATTTTAAAGTTGTTATTGATGTTAAAATCCATGATTAATCACTATATAACCATGCCAAGTCACTAATTCGATAAATTCGACCTATGTGACCCATGTGACCCATGTGACTCACCTGTGACTCGTGACCCGTGTGACCCGTGACTCATGTGACCCATGTGACCCATTGGACTTATGTTTTTTTTCTTTCTCATTTCCAAGTAAAAGTAAAATCCAAAATACAAAGGTGTTTACAAAAACTGAGTTTACAAACTACGAAAGAGTTCACAATAAATAATAGGTTAGTTGTACACAATTTTACCATTACAAAATATATCGATAGCCAATTTTTCACGGATCAGTGGTATGGTCCCATCGCATATCGACATGAATTCTGCTCCCTTGTTCAAACCAGATATAAGTGCATGCTCAATGATCGAATACCTCACGGGCACACCATTGAGCATGAACCACAACTCTTTCTCATCTTATGCTTTAACAGAGCGGTTAATGAGAACACCCGCAGGCGCATCTTTAACTGTGGTTCCCATTATGCGTGGAATAGATGTTGGAATTGTGATTCTTTCTCGAAGTACGTCCATTCATCCTGTGTTAGTACTTGTTTAAGCGTCTTCAGCGTCTCATAGGGACAACACTTCGCATTGATCTTCGAAGAAAACTGAATGTCTTCGAATTTGTAGACAAATGGAAGCTGCAAAATAAAATAATTGTTCGTCATTGTGATCTTTGTGACCTGGGACCAGGGACCTGTGGCTGATATGACCCATGTGACCCGTGACCCATGTGACCTGTGACCCGTGACCCGTGTGATTCGTGTGCGGTGTTGTGAGTTATATTATACTATTACCATATAAATCTCTGTTACCCATATGACCTGTGACCCACATGACCTTGCGACTTAGAAAATCATTAAACTTGCCAAGGTATTCCGAAATCCCACACCCACACCCTAACTTTCTATTTCGAATTCCTAAAACCAAATTATATATTTCAAAACAAAAAAACCGTAACTTTATATTCAGAAATCCCAAAAATCTAATTTTCAATTTCGAAAGTCCTAAACTCTAAATTCCTATTTTGAAATATCAAACCATCCAACAAGTTTAGTAATTTTATTCCAGGATCAGGTCACAGAAGAAAAAAACAGAGAAGAAGGTGCAAA